GTGTGTGTGTGTGTGTGTGTGTGTGTGTGTGTGTGTGTGTGTGTGTGTGTGTGTGTGTGTGTGTGTGTGTGTGTGTGTGTGTGTGTGTGTGTTTAACATAATGCTACTACGTGCACGTACGTTTCCCATCTGTATGTGCGTGATTTATTAATCGAGCTGTTATGATAAGCGATATGGGCGAAGATAGCGATTGAGGTCTCGGGGACGCCATACCGTCCAGCTGTTGTTAAATATCTTACCCAGGGTTGTTACACTCGCCACTGTTGGCAGGTTAAACGTGTGATTAAGGCTCGGACGGCAGCGCCCTGCCTGTGGAGGCGTGATTATTTCTAACCACACCAAGCGCCCACTACCGCCGCACACGCACCCACACACACACGAATACGCACACTGGCGCTCGATTGCAAGGATTCATACTCGCACGCGTGCATAAGCAGTCGTACGCGCGTGCACGCACGTACGAGTGCAAGTTACCACAACAGAACAGGGTTGTTCTACCGGGTTACGTTATGGTATATTGTCCGAACACATGCAGGCGCCCACACATGTATGCCCAAACAGTAACGGCCGTAAACGCGCACGGGCATATATTGCGTGTACGTGCACGCACGCGAGCATCCACGCGCGCGCGTACTATGCGAGAGGGTCAAGTCTCGGGTACAGCAGGTGATTCTGCATCAGCGACCGGCCATCGGTCAGCAGCGGCAGTGGCGGATAGGGCCAGATCGTTGTCTTCGCTATTATGCTAAACACCTGAGCAAGGCAGAGTCGCCAAATCAGTTGTCTGGCGTTGTTACCTAATTAGTTGCGGGGTTAGAGAGCAACCCCAGTGGGATTTGGACCTGATTTGTAGTCTAGGTACACATAGATCGCACCGGCCACTGCCATCATCAGCATAACCTGTCTGCTACCACAAGGAGAGAGTGGCGAGGGCGTCTGCCATGGCCGAGCCCCGCACGCGTTGATCCATATGTATATATGGACGCACGGTCACCCATCTTGAATAGCACGCGCGGATAGTGAGCCGGAACAAGCGGTGCTTCCTCATGGATTAAACTGCGCAGACGAATTCTACTGTGGCGTTTAATCTGACTGACTATGAGCGGTTCATGGGCGAAATATAATTGCTACACAGGTGAGGTGCAGGTCCATGATCGATTTGTCATGTATATAGAGTAGTTATAAGAATTATAGAGCGAGGTATAATATAATACGTGATGGGTTCGGAACCTTGGGCTGAACAAGGATTCCTTGGGCTGTCGGGGGAATCTACCATCGGTCTCACGCTAACAAGATGCCGAATGTAAGTAAGTAAAGAGGTAACATTGACCGCGCGCAAAAAGTGACTTTCAAGATTGTTTGACACGCGGGCGAGAAGCAGACGGGGGCTGCATGAAAGCCTGTGACTACTGCTGATGCTAGCTGAGACTCCTCACGCGTCCAACACCGCCTGCTGCAGGCTTGCGCCGCCAGCCCGCGCACGTGCGAGCGCGCACGCGCGTGTGTGAAGTGATAATATTGATGAAGGAAATATCGTGAATGTGACATATTTCAGACACGCGCTGCGAGGAGATATTAATAATCGGCATCCGCTATAATCACTCAATCGCGGCCGTCAGACAAGCGACGCGTCTGTGCTAGAGCGCGCCGACCATGTGCACGGCATGTGCACGGCTGTGGACGTCGTCGCCGCCGCCGCCGCCGCCGCTGTTTTATGTTGTGTCGTCTGCTGCGCCGGTTTTGTGTGCGTTCGTCTGCGCGACCGGTCGCCGGTTGCTCGCATCCGGCGTGTGAACACTGTCGCTGTGTTAACGGCGTGACGGCATACGCGTAAAGTTGAACGTCATATCGGCATCGCGCTGAGCGAAAAAAGGCGGCGTAGGAGATTTCGTGGAATCGATGCAGTCGTTAGCTGAGCACGCGCGCTCTCTAAATCTCGATGTGCATCGGCCCATAGGGCTGTGGGAAGTTACGCAAACGTTCCGGGAAGAGTTTGTGAAGGGCCGCCAGATTTTCCTGTTGTAGATTGAGGAGAAGATTGCTCTAAAGAAGCAATAGCAATGCTCGTAGAACGAATATTATTATTTTTCCTTTCACAACTACATGTAACTACATGTCGCTCTTTCTTTGGATGTCGCAGAGAACTTAGAATGCAGGAGTACCATTGGCGACAAATCTTTCCCGAAGCTTGGACGTAAATCTTCATTTTTTCATGGATTGAAAGTTTCGAGCTCCTGTGGTTTGAGGCGTACATAGATTACGTTAGAGCCCGTTATGAAATGCTTTCTTCATTCCTTCCTCGCTTTCTTCGTATCTTGCCACCTCCGTCGTCTTTCTTCACTTCCAACTCTCCGCCGCTTCCTTCCTCCATATTTTTCTTTTCCCGCCTCCCATCCATCCACCCACCCACACACCTACCCAATCTATCCATCCATCCATCCATCTATCCGTCCGTCCGTCCATCAATCAATCAATAAATCCATCCATCCGTCCGTCCATCAATCAATCAATCAATCCATCCATCATCCCCCTTTTTCTTCCTTCTTGTGTCTCTTCATCTATCTATCTATTTCTACCTTCCCAACTTACTCCTTCCTTCCCCATTGTCCTCCATTTCTCCCTTCTTCCTTGCGTCCCTGCCATCTCGCTATTACGTTAACAAACCATACACTGAACTTTGCCCCTCGGGCACAGCGGAGTATGTAGGTGGCCGTTCGCCGCTCCCGTAGAGTCGCTGACCAATCCCTGCCGGCGGCAGCAGACGGCCGCCGAAATTCCACGAGGCATCGACGCCGGCCATTTTGAGCAGTTCACTCCTTCACGTGTACAGATATGCACACGGGTTGCGGCCACACATTCAATGTGTGCATGCGAAGTAGAGACGCGCGCATTTATGAGCGCGTGGCGACGTACGCGACACATGCGACGTGTAGCAGTATCGAACGTGCAGAGGAGCGCGCATACATGGCGCTTATAGTGATATACCCGAACAAGAAGTCGAGTGGGAGAAACAAATAGCCGCTTAGAGAACAGGTTGCGCATTCACACGGTGACCGCCAGCCATTTATCGCCGGCCTGGCTGAACGACATCTGCTTGTGTAAGGAAGGATTGCACCTGATACCTATCGCATCGCGGCCCGATCACGTCTGGCGTGTACGTATACGTACATGCATGGCTCCCTATGCGTCTCCGCGCCGCTCCGCACAACGCTCACAATACGCCGCACAATGCGCATACAATTAGAGTCGGTGAACCTCGGAGAGAAGCGAGAGAAGATGTGTCGAGAAAGCAGACGTAACAAGGAAATCTCTTGCGATTTGACTTAGATGAACCAAACTCATTAATTAGTAATCTTAATTGTCTCGAGTGTATTACACTGGATAAATGTGACTAATTTACACATTGGATATGCGCGTATATCTGAATATTATCCCTTGATTAATTCGCGATGGACGCGTCGCAAATTCCGCTGCGCAGTTGCGCGGGCACATATGTCACGTGTGTCTACGTCACGCGTTACGTCACCACGCAGACGCTGTCGCTGCCACTACGGCCCGCGCGGGCGACAGACGCGGGTGCGATAAACACGGTCACGGAGCAGAGACGACAGGTGACAGACGGGGAGGGGCGATCACGATGATTGCAAGGTGTGCATGAGGCACGGTGAAGGACCAGGTGGGGAGGGGGTATCCCGCCGAAGCACCGGACTGGAGTCGGACATGTTGACAGGGTAAACACGGGTAGCAACCCATTAGTTTGCCGAGCAAAGATCCGGTCGCCGATAGCATTGTACCAGTATTTGTCAGGTCTGTGTAGCCAGATTAGTATCGCTAATCTTATTACGGTCAGCTTAAGCCGCCGACAGTCGCTTTACCGAGTGTCTCGCCTGCAACTTGCGAAGGTGGTGATGGTGGTGATGGTGATGGTGATGGTGGTGATGGTGGTGATGGTGGTGATGGTGGTGATGGTGATGGTGGTGGTGGTGGTGGTGGTGGTGGTGGTG